CTTCAATTCCCACTAAAGCCTTGGGAAACAACGAGGTGTCTGTGAACTACTCAGTTAATGCTAATAATATGATATATGATTCTGGATTTGTGAAACAATGGCCATCCCAGAGGTGCAAAATCTGAATCTGAGACATTCAAGAATGTATTGACCCTCATGTGAGTGACTCCACAGAAATGCCTGACCTCTCCAGATAATCAATGCAATTCAAACTTTATTTTTTCTGTCATAAATGAATAACAACCTTTGCTGTGGAGGGCTTTGCGGTAGGTTTTTGGCAGGTTTAGCTCCTTAGCCAGCGAAGCTGAACTTTCTTAGAATTTCCTTCAGTGTATGCAAACAGAATTTGAACCTGCTAGGTGGTCCAGCTTTGGGTAGTTTGAATAACTATATAGACATCTGAGATGTTTATTATATAGTAATGCATCATGCTCATGAAATCAGCAGCTAAAACATACTACAGGACTAACACAACAGGAAAAGAATCAGTATTTGCTTATACTGACTGATGAAGGTCTATCAAGAAGTAAGGTGTGGACATAGACCATATCACAAATTCATTGTGTTTCAGAAGTGTTACTTATATTTACAGCTCATTAACAGCTGTTTAATGTTCAATGTTTTTAATGCAAATGCATCTTAATATTTGGTTATTTTAAACTAACGTCTTGTTTATAGTAAATACTTCTTTATGTCTCCTCCTTGCAGGTTGAGGTGTGGATGTCTATATGTCCCAGTCTGTAGGACACCAAATGCTGGATTGAGTGATTATAATTCCGTGGTCAAAGGTCAAGGTAATTGTAAGCAAAAACTGCAACATGCTACATGAGCGTGGAAATGCATGTGTTTAAATGTTAAAGGTGGATGTGATGTAGTTACTAAAATCCGTGTTTCTCAGGTTATCTTGGTTAAAGGAAAGAAGAGCTATTAAGGGCATTTATCAACAAATTGATATGATGAAAAAATGAAAGATAGGAAAACTAAAATGTTCAGTTTATGTTTACATACTTGTTTACTATTGGACTGTTTGTCTGTGCTGCTGAACTGGCTATTTAAATCTTTATTTTATCATGGAACACAATGTTGGATAGCTGTGGAGTTATTTTTGCTGTCAAAAGTCAGAAATGAAATTTTTTTTCTCAAATTGATAGAAAAATAATTCCATAGATCACTTGTATCTTTAGTTTAACATTTTGGTTCAAACTCAATTAACGAAATTCTTGGGATATGGTGAATTTTTTTCTTAAAGATTTACAGAACTTCAAGAAAATGGTAGAGAAGATAAACTATAAAAATATGGAGTTATCCGTAATGGGGTTTATGGAAAGACAATAAAATAGACACGTTTCTTCCTGTTAAA